TTTGAGTTGCTGAAGGTTCAATGTATTTAAGTAGGGTCAAAAATATATATTATTAAAAAAAAAGCTTTCGTTGTCGTTCGTGTGTCATACTCTTTCTTTACTGGAATTGATAAAAATCTTCAATTAACGTGCTTTTGATATTTTTATTTGACAAGTTATTTTTAGTTACTAATTTGTCACTAGATTGCAATTTTGCAACATATTGTACAGGTTTTTCGCATCTCACAACTGAGTACACTCAGGTCATTTTTTCCAAATCTGACACTGACAGTGCGGGAGTTTTGCGAACGGATATTACTTACATTTTTTTTTTTTAATTTAACTATTTCCAATTTTTTTGTGACATTAATGGCTGGAGAAAAAAATGTATGTTTCATTCGGATTAAAAGTGGGTTTTTTGACTCGCAAAATTTTGTGAAACACCACTTTTAATCCTAATAAAACTAAATACTATTTTTAGGTGCGACTGCTTTAAAAATTTATAGATTTGATCATTTAACAGAAAATTTTCACAATACATATATTAATTTTTTTTATAATACCAGCATTTGAAGAAGTGTTAAGAGATTGAAAAAAAAATCTAGATGAATGAGCCTACAAAATTTACCATATTTTTTGTACAGACACACTTCAGAGATCATTTGTCCTTGATGCACAAACTTCTAAAAATAGACGATTTTTGGTACAAATTTTAAAGAGGCACTCAGTTCCTTTAAAACGAACCTGAAATCGTGTGTGAAAACAAATACCAAACAAATATTGCACAACGAAAAAGAAGAAGAATGAAATAAAAAAAAATATCAAAGATTATTTCGACAGAACTTCCCTCGTGCCTGAAGTACAATAAATTATATCCCGTTTTTTCAAAAAAATACAAAATTTGATTTTGAACATTTTTTTGTATGAGAACCCCTAGAACTTAAGGATATTGCTAAAGTAAATGTGCAAGGACACTTACATCACTTTGGATCGATGCAGTGTAATACTTATAATAACAGCGTTGTATGTCAAATTTTCGGTAAAATTAAAATTAATCACAAAAATAAATTGATTCATTCATTATTAATGTTTTTGCTTCAACTCTAAAAAATATACATGCAATAATAAATCACAAATATAAAGTCATCATATTTTGTAGATTTTGATTTTAGATAGAATTTATAAAAAAATAAAATAAAACTGTAAAATGACGTCATCAGTTTTTTGAGAACGATAAACAGATATATTGTGATCAAAAATTGACCATGTTTACGATTACTTTAAAACATTTGGAAGATTCCAGAGCATTCGGTTTTGCAGTTCCTGATTTAATCAGTAAAATAAATTGGCTCATGGATATCTCGAATAAAAACTCAACACGGATTCATAAACTACTCGTATGGGAGTATATTATTTTATACAATTTGAAAGTCAGTTACTATGTGTTAACCAAATTTTGGTTAGCCTTTTACCATCTACATGACATTCATAGCACATACAAAATTTGTCTGGTAGTTTCGGAGATTCTTAGATCTAACACAAATCGACACAGACAGGGGACAGACAGGCAGACGGAAAGGAGACACCTATTTTTTCGTACTCTAGGGGCCAAGAAACGTCGAGAAAACATAAAAGTAACCAGTCGTCTAATTGACTTGATTACAATAATTCCTTAACTTGCGCTTACAGAATTTTGAGATGTACTACGCAACAATATTATTTTGTTTACATAAAACGATAAACTTCGTTTATTAAATACGAGTATACACATTTGTCAGAGAATACAAGAAAGTGATATTTTTTAAAGTGTGATTTGATTTTCTTGTAATTTGTAACGTTTATTTTATTGAAATAAATATAAAGCTAAATACTTCTGTCCAGTAAGTTAAATCGAATAACGTTATTTCCAAATTATTACTATCGGATGTCAAGCTTTATTATTACAAGTACCTATACTTAATAGTTTACGAGCTAGCGACCGACTTATTTTATATATTTCAGTACTCATGAAAATCGGTGGATGAACTCTTGTACTTAGTAGAACTTTTTTAATTTTTGCAAGTTATTATAAAATGGTATGTTTCTGTTTCTGTCTTGGTCCGACATTTTGTATTTACTCAGTTATCGATTCCGCCCTAAAATGTTAAGTTCGCGCATTCCTTGTAGTAAACTCAGTTGACTTGTACATAGTAAAACTTTACAACACCATTAACGGACAATAGCGGACAATTTAGTACAAATCACTGAGTTTACTATACCTGCGTAAATACAGTGTGTCGGATAAAAACAGAAACAAAAACATACCAGATGCCGTGACTGGTACAGTTTTATATACAACACCTTGTCAAAATGAAAAAATTCTACAGTACCTACTAAATAAGGAACACTCATTCTAGCAACTGATACCGGCCAGGTTTGGTCCCTAATTTTTAAATGACGTAAAAAGGTCACACTTCACCTGAACTAAAAAGGAATCTCAATATTACCAGAACATTTTCACTTTTCCACATCGTTAACTGAGTAATAAAAAATTGTAAATGTAAAAAGTAAATTGGTCTAATGAATAAGTTTTAGAGCCGCAAAAATCTTTGTAAATTTGACGTTACTTATTTCGTCCGGTTGCCAGAAAAAGTACAAGAAAAGCTAAAAAAAATTATCACACGAATATTTTCCGAAACTACGAATCTGGTTACTTTGAAGTGTTAAAATTATCGTAATTGTGTCAGGTCGCAACAAAAACCCGTCTATTCATTTCCATTAGAAAACTGGACACGTTATCTTAACATATTAGGCAAATTCCGTTTGAAATATGCGTCGTTGATTTAAAAATCCGCTTCTATTTCTGACTTTACTAAAATATACAGCGTGATCAGCAAGTTAATACTGTTTCAGATAGCATCAATGAATTTTGCTTGAAATTAGTAGACACGTGACTCCACCTCAGTTCCTGTTGTCAAAACTAACATAGTTGGCGGTGGCATTTAATTTACGTCAAAATTTGTTGTTGATTATTATTAAATTGTCATAAGTCATAACCTAACTTTCTTGAGGGCTTAAATGAGATAGCCAAACATTTCAAGTTGGTTTGGCGTTAACAGCGCAAGAAAATTCTCTCAGAATTAATTATTTTATTAATAACGGGTGTTCAATTGAAAAATCACTCAGAGTAAGCGTTGGAATCCTATCATTTGACACAAACGTCATGTGTGTTCTTATAACATTGGTATAGCATATAACATATATGTCATTTGCCTAAATCGATCATATTTTAGCAGGTACTAACCCCGCCCACCCGCCCTCTTTTTCTTAGAAGAATCTGATTTAAATCAGTCTTATCTTAGCAGGTACTAGCTACTAAACAGTTGAATGCAATAATTAAAAATTAAAGCAATTTCTTCCTTACAGACAAAAAGCAAACTTCATTAGATTTTTCAACTATGTATTAAATTTGTTCTTCTTTTTGATGCGCTTGTGTAATTTGACGGTAATAAAACTGTATCACTAGGGGTCTTTATTGTTTCTTCAACATAAATCAAATGGTGGAAGATCTTTAAAATCTGAACAATATATGTATATAGTTTGCAGATATTCTATAATAAATAATTCATAATGACTTTGTGACAAATTTAAACTTCTTGAAGTGTATGAAAAAGATGAATCAATGTTTTTTTTAGAGAGCTAATTTATGTTTGAACCTCATTCCAAAAACTGGCTTTAGATAAAAAAAAATGAGTTTTCAGACATATTTATAGATATAAAGTTATTTTTACACAGGCTAAAAGTAATTTAGTCTCTTATATAACGATATTTTAAAATTTATAGACCTCCAATATCTTTGAATTTTAATAAATTTTTTGGTCCCAAATGCTGTCGTGTTTTGTTAATATTTCACAGCCCACAAAAGACGAAAAGGCAACTTTCCAGTACCCGTCCGGTTAGTAGAAATGAGTCATTTCTTTGTTTATTCGTTTGTTTATTTAGTTTTAATACGTTTAAGACATTGACGATAACTCTCGTGCACCTACTGGAAATCTATTAGGCAATTAACTTTTAAATTATTAAAAGTAGTTTAAAATTGTCGTGGAACTTGGGACGGGCTCGAGATATGTTTCCGGAGTACTTTTTTTTTTAATAATCGTCGTGAAGATAATACTACCAGATAGATATTTTTCCACTGCAAATAAAAATATAAATGTCTGGAAATTGATCAACTCCGTAAACATATCTATATTATAATAAATTAACAGTTTATAAAATAAAAAATATATTAAAAAATGAAACAAACATTAAAAATTCTTTCTTGTTCCTGGAAGACCACTTTCAATTATAAATTACGCAAGTAAAATATTTTTTGTTAATGTATTACAAGGTTACCTTCTGTAATATTTAAGATAATCTTATTATGTATAACATGGGTCTAGTCACAATGATTTAATACAATAGCTAAGGTATTAATATTCACCCTTGGAAATTAATTAATATTACAATAATAAATCAACCAATAAAGAAACCATCACGTTACCTATAACATTTTTGTATTCTTTCTGATGTTTAGTGTCCAAGAACCGGACACTGACGACATAAAAACAGCTAATAATAGTTAATAATACTCCAACAAAATTATAAACCACAAAACACGAACAATAAGAGCCATTTTTTATCTTTAATCACGTTTCTGACATCATCAAAGAAACTGATTTTTCCTTAACACAATTTCATGGTTTGTATAATGAAATTTACGTGTGATTACTATACAGCTGATAAATCAGACATTTGCATCAATAAATTAAGAAAATCTCTATGAACATTAATATTGATGCGAATTCGTCACTTGGTTGTTCCAGGATTTTATAACAATGGCATGACATCACCGCAACTTATTCAAAATATCATCAAAGTCCCAAATAAAGTATCCTCTCAGAAAATCATTATTATTCAGATTCATGACACGTTTTGTCCACCTTGGTGTAAGCATAATAAAGTTGACGGTCTAGTTCAAGTTCAGAAAAATTTTCACTAACCTCCAGATCTTTGTTTCTCGTCATCGGGCAAAATCACTTCACCAGCGTCCTTCCAGTATATTTTGCTAATTTTGTATGGACCACAGTAACCCCCATCGCACCCCACCGTCAAGTTACACTTGGACGCTGCGTAGCACAGACACCGAAAGCAATGAGTGTTTAAGTTAACAATGTAGGGAACATCTGGAAATGCACAGTTACTGTTTCGAGCCCGAAGGTATAATTAGTTTTGGCTTACCTTGAGTAAGAACTTGGTGGCAGAGCAGGAACCATGTAGCAACCGCAGCGTATCGCGCCATATTTACAACAACACAATCATAATAATTGAAGCGGATTCTTAATTATGGAGATTCCCAATGTTCACTGTCTCGCAGCAAGAAGTAACTTATCGGATTCAGTCATTAAAAACTTGTTTGCTATTATTGTAAACTTGTTTGCCCAGTTCGTGGGAAAAATTTGATAGTGTTAAGTGCGCCCAGAAGAGAAAAAGGTGACAAGTTGACTATTAACCGTTTATTAGCTCTATAATTAAGTATAAAAAGAACAGTTCACAGCTTACACTTTACAAATGACTTAGTTTTAATTTGAATTAAATACCACCAACTAGCGCTTTGCACTGTTGGTACCGCTGCTGATAGATTCCTGTGATGACCCCACCTTTGCACCCGTAACCACCCAGCTTGTGGATGGTAACGAAGTCGTCGCAGTCGATTTTGCCGTCACCGTTGCAATCCTGCAAAACGATCAAATTACGATGCCATCTGAAACCGGTCCTGATTTTTACCTGTTGGAATTTATTCATGTATCCTTGCACTGCCAGGGCCGAACAGTAGGTGTCACGGGCACAATTAGCGTAGGCAGAGGCGGCTTCGGGAGATTCGTTGTTGACGGTGGGCTTCCCAGCATCGGCCCAGTAAGCCCAGGTTATTCTAAAAGGGCCACAAACGTTACCCGAGCAGCCGTCGCTGGTGTCGCAGGAAGAAATGGCTTCGCATATGCAACCCAGACATTGCTGGTTTACAGGCAAGTTCTGTTGGGCCGTTGCAGCTACAAAAATACTTTAGGTCAAAAGTGTTCTTTTCCCCAACATGCACTTTTTGAGTTATTTTTAAAGAAACAAAAACTTAGGATTTTTTTTGACTTGAAGTACTCACCAGTGAAGCAAAGGGCGGCTACGGTTAACAACACGCTGTCTACTCTGGCCATTATGACTGAACACACGATCTTCACGCGTTTACTTTCGGTGCTTCACTGAAGAATACACCGCGATTTTCGAGCATATGTATCTGTTTGCAGTCAAGTTTCTCGACTTGTTAGTACTCCGCTGGCGTAAGAGTACTGCGATTGGCTGGTGAAAGGTTTTCGAGCTTGGTGGAGGTAGATACTTTGCCTTGACCTCACTCAACTGTTATCACAAATATTTTTTTAACGTGTTCTTCGGGTAACGTGGTGAAGATTTACGCACATGACCCCTGGGAAGCCATTACTGTTTAACGATCCTTATAGTTTTGGGAATTTTATAATTTACGTTGTTTTTAACGACATCCAGCTAAGCTTTTATTTCGGAAAGTTTTGACTTTTTTGGAATAGCGGATCAGTTTTTTGTGGACGGTTTAATGTCCTTTTTGCATAATCTCCTAATAAGGCTGAGTTACCTGCTGTTAAACGGTGTTGTATATACGTCATTGTTGCTATTTTTAGACGTGTTGCATCTACTCCAAATTTGTATCCGCCGATGAGGGTTTGGTAGATTGTTTTTTATTGTGTGTTTGTTGAACCCACCCACCTTATAATAACATAGCTTTAAAATTCCATCTGACTCATAAACTAGATCCTGTATGAATTTCTGGAAGTGTTGTTTATCTACATCATTTCTTCAAAATTTGTGTAAGACGACCTTCTAGTTAATGAGACTAAGTTGATCGCGACTTGGTCTTGACCAATAAACGGAACTAAACTGTAAGTTGAAGAATCATCAATATTTTTAGGTTTTTTCTAAGATATTTTTCCAAAAATAGAAAAATTCTCAGGATAGATCACTTTTCAAATACGAAAATATGTTGCTCACAAAGCTTCACTTTCCTTTATTCAAGTAATACAACGGTTTTGCATCAATCGTTAAATTTTATTAAATCTTTGATACAATGACTTGCATAAAGCCTAAATAATGTCTACAGTGACACAACTATAATGCAATAAAAAGAAATTAGCTAACGATAAAAATATCTCCTAGTGAAATTCTTATGAAACTTTATGAATGGATTTGCCATCACCAATAATCTCCTAGTTCTGATGTAATTCTTGACATTTTTTAAAATGCTGGTTTTTTCTTTTCAAGAATTTGAAGAAAATTGGAATAATATGGCAACATCGCATCAGGATTTCAAAAATAAAGTATGGTTTTAACCCTAGGAAAAGTCAAATGAGAATATAAAAATATATAGGGGTCCTACTAAAAAGAAAACTAAGTTGTATACTATGTGTCAATTTAATTACGGACACTTCTACAAAGCGGACACCTCTAATCAACGGACAATTTTTAAGAAACCGAAGTGTGTTTAGCAAATGTAATGAAGTAGAAGCTCCCAACAACGGACCCTCTCAGCAGGGGTCGCGGATAGTAAAATTTGGTACCATGTTAATAAATTTCATAGAAATTTAACTCTACACAACGGACAGATTTATTTGTTACCAAGATTTTACCTGGTAAACAGCTCAGGTACTGTTAACGGATTAGCTAATTTTGAGTACCGCCCGCGATACCCTGTTATAACATACCAATGGTTTTCTCGTTATTCCATTTAATCCATTGTAGTCTTCCCAAAAATGAATTTAAAAATTATTGTATGTTAAATCCTTTCAAATGATTGCCGGCAGCACTACACCAGTAATTCATTGTTTGTTTAAACTCTTAAATCTGCTAAGTTTTTGGAATTGGATAAGCTTCTTATTGTTAGGTATGAGAAAGTATAAATATCTACCTATCTTGGGATAGTCTCACAGTATACATAATTGATGTATGTGCATACATCATATAGGTTTTCAATATACGTATACAACAAATATATTTATTATTTTATCAACCTCTCTCCAACGGACATCTTCCAATAACGGACACTTTCTGAGTCACTACAGCTGTCCGTTGCAGAGAAGTTTTGCTATATTAATAAAAATGGTTATCTCATAGAATCCATATTAATCAAACTTATGCATTCTTTTAACTTATTTTTATAAATTATTCGATCCAAATTGCAACTAGAAGTAATTTATAACAATAATATTATTAATAGTATAATCTTCATTCATGTTATGACACAAATATGCTCTTATCATAGGTCAAAGAAGGGAAAAAATATATACTATTTACAAATAACTTGCTATATTGCTATTGGCATAAAAAGCACTTGGTAAATTATTAAAAAAAATTATGTCGTAGTAAGAGGTGTCATTCTTAGATTATTATATTATAGTCTTTTACACTATGAAGTTGGTGAGTTCATTATATGAAAATCGAGAAGAATGTTCGAGATATTGTTATACTATACACTACTTAAACTATTTTGCGAACAATCACATTTATAGAAATCAAGACATAAAAAATTCAGATTAAATTAATTTGACTTTTGCCAAGAATGTTTTCAAAGTACGGAATGGTATGTCTTATCTATGTACAATCCCTTGGATTTATTTTGTTAGAAATGTGTTAGAAACCGAATAGACAAATTCAATTTTAAATAATGTTGTGACTATCAGTTTCATTGTAAGATTGCATGGATATAAAATTTGTAAACCCTGATAAAAATATCAAAAGATTGTATACCTACATAGTATTATCTACTAACACGGGGGATTGAACAAATATATTTGTATTGGGTTTGCGTAAATAAAACGTTAAGGTTTGTTTAGAATTTAATCGCGGAATCAATATATTGAAGAGGGGTAATAAGTGACTGCAATCAATTTTGTTTCGAAATATAGAGTACAAGAGTTTTAGACTATTATGTATTCGCCTAAATTCTAAAGAGTCGACATTCAGAGTCTCTAATAATACACTATGACTAAAACCGCTACCGGGATAAACATCAAATATTCTGAAATATAAAACTAAAAGAAATGTTCTCTGAATGTTTTCCAACCTGATCTTATAACAAAAATAATAGGGAAACCATACTACACTGCAATATTCCAATCTAGACCTAACGTAAGAGTAATACAGTTTTTAATACTAATGGATTTTTAAATGTACTGGTGTTCCTAATAATTATAAATCCCAAACAATTCATTGACATATTTATGATACTACTTACATGATCGTTAAAATTAAGTTAGTTATCAAAAGTTATACCAAGATCTTTTATTGTTGAAGTTTGAAGTTCTATTAAGTGGAAGAAAGTTACAGCTGTACGCAAATAATATGGGATCTTTTTTCTTTGAATATGACATTATTTTGCATTTAGAATAGTTCCAAGGGAGTTTATTCACCTCACACCAAGCATGTATTTCATTGACATTCTTCTGTAGATGACGGCAATCCTCCTGTGTATAGATCCTAGTGAATATTTTTAGGTCGTGACCAAATAAGAGCATTCCACAATCAATTATATTAACAATATCATTGATAAAAATCGGAATAATAACGGACCTAGGTTGGAGCCCTGAGGAACACCCGATGTCGATATGTAGGACCGCGATTTGAATCCATTATAGGTCACATATTGAGATCTACTGTTTAAGTACGACTTAAAAAAATTCACTAAGGGACAGTTAAATCCAAATAAAACAAGTTTATTTAAAATAAGAGTGTGATCAATTTTGTCGAACACCTTCGAAAAATCAGTATACATAACGTCCACTTGCCCCTGACAATCAAGGACATCAGTAATATATTGTGTAAAACAAGTAAGATTAGAGACAGTAGAACGTTGCTCCATGAATTCGTGTTGAAAACTAGAGATATGAAGAGGACAAGAAGTATATATATGTGAGTAAAGAGTCATTTCGAAGAAGAACAATCTTTAACAAAAAAAGTAGATATCTGATCGCCACCAGCGGTTAATTTGTTTTTCAATTTTTTTATAGCATTTTTAATATCATTTTTAGAAATATTCACTATAATAACAATAAGAAAGGAAGCTGTGTCAATATGATCCGTCGAATTATTGCTATTCGTAAAAACAGTACTAAAATATGTAGCAAATCCATTAATTATCAATTCTGGGGTAGAGTAAGTATTGTTGTCATAGCACCTACATAACAGCTGGAATTCTTGTTACATTTTTTTGTCGTTGATACATTTCCAAAAATATTCTGGATCAGTTTTTAACTTGTATGCAAGAAATACTTGAGACTTAGTTAAAGACCGCAAACGTTTAAATTTATTCAGCTGCTCTACATTACCTATTTTTTTTAATTGCTGTAGGTATTTATGCTTTAACTTAATATTCTTAATTATGTCAATGCTGTACCAGCTTGGATATTTTCGAGAAGACTTTTGGGTCTTAAAAATAGGAACATATTCATCAAATAACGAGTATAAGATTGAATAAAAAAGGCCATTATAAGATAAGAAATTATTGATTAATTCAACTTTTGAGTCGTTTATACTTAAATTATTCCAATTTGATACATTGAAGTCACCCATTATTAAGATTTGTTTTTTGTCGATAATATAAAGATCCAGAAATTCAAAGAAATATTCTAAATCAGATAAAAAATATTTGGCGGTACATAAACGATTATTATAATATAAAGAATCATTGAGGACCTAGTCTCACTTTCCACCCAACAATATCAGTAGAAGGTAAGGCATTGATGATTACATTTAAATTAAGCATTTCTGGATTCAGTCTACTTTTTAAAGCAAGAAGTACAGTTAGTTCGCCAATTTGATCAGCTAGAGGTTTGGTGTGAGTTTTAATAACATCTTCAATTAAACGCATAAATTTTGCAACAGGCAGATTAACATTTTGATTGCCAAACAAACCTAAACCTACACACGTTAAATGATAATTCGAATGACAACTTATGGTGCAAGCAATATAAGTCTCATACCGACTAATTGTGCGGTTACATTTGCCGCATTTAATAGCCATTTTCAAGTTAGTTTTATTCAATGATAAAAGAAGTAAAGAACAGAGCTAGAAATACACTGCCCCTCCTAGAAGGGAACACTTCTTTATCATTCGATTACGAACTTTAACAAAAAAGAGTGCAGAAAAATCGCAAGTAAAAAGTAAATAAACCCTCTGAACCCGAAACCGAGGTTATGGTCCCAAACAATATTAAAAACTAATGATATAGCAAAGGGCTTACCCTAACAGTAATGTAAATGCCAA